AAATATCGGCAATAAATCGATTTTATTCAAAACTTGAAGAAAAAGTTTAGGTAAAAAATACAGATCGCCAAAAAAAGGTCAGTTATAGAATCATAAATAATTCAGATTGGTTAAAAAAAAAATTAAGCAAAAAAGTCGAACATGTAAATATGACATAATATAGGATTATGATTTTCAGTTTTATAGATACACTAAAGCCATTGAACAATAATTTTATGGCCTTATCGAGCGTCATTAGAGCAATACTTGACATTTTATTGTCTAAACTTTCAATAAATCCAGCAATAATGCTTACTCTATTATCATAACACAAAATATATCATAGACTTATTGCAAGCATAAAATGAAACAACAGTAATACTAAACATAAGTACGACATTAGTAAATTACAAGAATTGTAAACTAAGTTATAGGTTTATTTTTCAAAGAAAAAAAAATACAAAAGGCCCTCCATATAGAAATGCAGTTAACTAAAACAAAACACAAAGACCTAAATATATAAATTAGTAGTCCATCCAAAATGCTATGTTGTAACTCTATGCATAAAAAAGGTAACAAAATGCTTAAGCAAATTCTAATCTCATATGAAATTCCTATCTGCCCAAATCTTTGGTATCATTGAATCTCTCTCAAGGTCTTTATAAGGACACTCTAGGTTTAAAGAAAAAAAAGATTTTTCATTGAGTTACTCTTCTTCTAACGCCAGATATTTGGCTGCTTTGATATCTTATTTTTTAGGGAATATATTGCTTATATTTTTCATGTATCTTTTTAAGGGAACTTATTGGTGAAAGTTTTATGGAATGTTTTTTTCGTTAAATTAAGATTCTTAATTTACCTCCACACATTAAATTCCTATCTGCCCAATTCTTTGGTATCATTGAATCTCTCCCTAGTTCTTTATAAGGACACTCTTAGTCTACGTTCTATTCATATTCATCCCCCTTTCTCTCTGTAAAAACATAAATGGATTTGTTGATTTCTCGCTAAAGCTCTCTTTAGAAAAGTTGCAACAAATGAAATAGGGAAGAGAAGAGAGACAATAGATCAACACAACATATACGTGGTTTGGCAATGTTCCTATATCCACAGATGATAAACCAATATTTCATTTATAGAGATTACTCTGGCTTATCAGAGATATATAGAGTTACAATTCTTATCTTTTAGGAAATAAATCTCATTACAATTGTAATCCCACAAAATAGGAAACTCAATATAGAAAAACTATAGGAAACTAAATATCTTATAATCCACAGAATATGAAGCTTAATATCTTGCTGCTATACCCATAAGCAATCCCCCTCAAGTTAGTGCCTCGATATCTAGGGAGCCCAAACTCTGACAGTATCTAGCTTTGGTAAACATGTCTGCAAGTTGGTCTTCACTTCGAACATAAGGAGTACTAATACTATTTTACTGAACATTTTCTCTCACAAATGACAATTAACTTCTATATGTTTGGTTATGTCATGAAAAAAATGGATTGGAGGCTATATGCATAGTTGTTTAATTATCATGGAACATCTCCATTGGATTGACCATTAAGAACCTCATATCTAGAAGCAACGATTTTATCCATATCAATTCACTTGTAGTTGAAATCATAGCCCTATATTCGGCCTTTGCACTGGATTGACAAATTACTTTTTGCTTTTTGTTTTTCCAAATAACTAGATTTCCTTCAACTAATGTACAATAGCCAGTAATGGACCTCTTGTCAATTGGACTACCAGTTCGATCAACATCAAAATAACCAATAATATTAGTGTGACCATTTTAGTTTCATCCAAATACCTCAGATGGGTAAGGACTTAAGATATCTGATAATCCAATTGATTGCTTCCATATGACATGATTTAAGAGCATGCATAAATCGGCTCACAAGGCTAACCGCATATGTTATATATGGGTCGTGTCATAGTCCAATAAATCAATATGCCCAGAAGTCTCCGAAAGTGACCTACATCTTTAAGAGGTTTTTCATTTCTTCAATCAAGCTTGCAATTAATATCAATAGGGGTGTCAACGGGTTTAACTCAGTTTTTTAGTTTCTTTCAACAGGTCGAAGACATATTTCTTTTGAGAAATTTTGAGCTTCATAATACTTTATTTAATGATAATCATCAGCATAAATGAGTACAATTGTTGTAGTTGAAGTTCCATTTTTTATGAGCATCAAAGAATCAACTGAACTTGTAAGAAACTCGACATTCATTAAAGCTGATGACACTGGATTTATGCATGCTCTTAAATCACCTAAGAGCATACAATAAGAGCATCCATACAAAGCCTTCTTTAATTTGTATATAAGACCTTTCTCATTTTCTTTAGAATCACCTAGAGGAAAACTCATATAACCTTCTTCTTCAAAGTCATTATGTAAAAAGACACTTTTAACATCCATCTGATGTAGAAACCACCAATTAACTGCAATAGACAAAAGAACACAAATAATATTCATCTTGGCAACTGGCATAAAAGTCTATATATAGTTCACTCCATAAGTTTGGGTAAATCCTTTAGCTAACAACCTAGCCTTATGCCTATTATATTTTATTTAAAAAACCCATCTACGTCTAATTGTTTTTTTTTTCCTTTAGGTAACTTGACAATGTCTCAAATATGATTCTTATCAAATGCCGGAAGTTCCTCTTTCATGGTCATCCTCCACACAGGTTGAGAAATAACATTTTGAAAATTGGTTGGCTCAAAATTCTTAGAAAAAACACTCAAAAACACAAAATAGCCAGCAAAGATATTTTCTTAGGAAATATAATTTTGAACATGATAAGAAACTGCATGGTAACTATAAAAATCTTGAAGGCTAGAGGAAGGTTGAGAGATACGAGAAGACTTGTGTAAGGGGGATCAAGTGGGGCAATGTCGGAGTCTTCTTCTTTAAAACTAGTTTGGTGAGTTTCAAAGGTATCTTCAGCTTCGGCTTGATCATTATGACTTGTTCTGGGTGTGTTGGACATATCACTGGTACTAATGTTAGGCAAGGGCAAACAACCTCTTGACCACTATCTCTGATTCTTATTTTTCAAACCATTCTCCAATGTGTCATGGAAATAGGACTCTGTTTCAAACAAATTGAACATCTCTGAAAATAAACATTTTTTTGGTTGTGGGATCATAACATTGTATCCATTTTGAGTAGAGAAGTATACAAGAAGGATACATCTATTATAATGTTTATCAAATTTATCCCTATTGTGCCCAACCACATGAACATAAGACACACATCCAAATACACATAAATTGGACAAATCAATTTTTTTATTTTTTAAAACATCAAAGGGAGATTTATCCTTAAGAATTTTACTAGAAAGTCTGTTAATCAGGTAGTAAGTAGTTAAAATAGCTTCAAATCAATAAATTTTTACAACATGCATCTAAAATCTCAAAGACCTTGTAACTTTCACAAGGTGTCTATTTTTTCTTTCAGCAACTCTATTCTGTTGAGCTGTTCCAACACATGATGTTTGATATATAATACCTAGGTTACATAAATGCTTAGAAAAAGCTTTATTCACATACTATGTGCCATTATTGGTTCATAAAAATTAGATCTTGTCATTATATTAAGTGGAAATCAGTTTGGGAAATTCTTTGAACACAAGAAAAACTTTTTCTTTTTATTTCAATAAATATACACAAATAGCATGAGATCAATAATTAATAAACGTAGCAAAATATTTAAAGGTAGTATAAGAATCAACTAGGGCTAGTCCCTGCATATCAAAATGTATCAAATGAAAGGGCTCCCATGAAACATACAAAGAAGACTAAAAAAGAAGTCTTGTATGTTTTGAGAATTTACAAACTTCACAAGAATGATAATTTAAAGATAGAGATGGCACTAAGATTTTCAAAAGTTTATCTGAAGGGTGTCCAAATCTCCAATGACATAGCATATTAATATTGGAATTATTTTGCCTGGCAACTAAAGCCTTATTCTCCTTATTAAATCAATATAGTAATCTTCCTCCCAGTGATCCGGTCCTTGAAAGTTATAGAGTTGAGAGAAAAAACAACATTGACATCAAGTTAGACGAAAATGATTGAATAAAAAAAACTTCAGAGTTATGAGACTGAAGAAGAACTTGGTCTTACCAACACCACAGATATAAATCAAGGAACCACTAACAAAAGATGCATGATTCGTTTTTTAATTATTTTTGAGGTTGGATAGACATTGTAAGTTACCAGTCATATGATCAGCCCCCCCTAAGTCTATTATCGAAAGAAAAGTGTCATAGGAAGATATGAAAGCATAAGTCTTAGAGATGGAGGGAAAATGTCATAAAGAGATGGCACTATAAGAGAGAAAAAAAATATTTTAGAGAAGAGAAAAAAGGTTACAGAGAGATGGCACCACAAGAGGGAAAAAAAACACTATAGAGAGATGGAAGAAAAAAAAAATGTCTAAAGAAAAGCTCCAAGCCACTCTCACTTTGGCGATAGATCAATATTTGAAAAATCGAAATATTCAGCACGACTACAACATGCGAGAATGCGAATAGATGTGTCATTGATCATCTGTAGGGGTTTTTTACACAAGTCTCAAGGCTCTGCTCTGATACCATGTTGAATTTGTAATAAAATAAATATAGAAGAGAAGGTAAAAATAGATCACCACAATATATATGTAGTTCGGCAATGGTGCCTACATCCATAGAGGATAAACCAATATTTTATTCATAGGTATTACTCTGGTTTACTAGAGATTTATAGAGCTACAATTCTTGTCTTTTAGGAAACAAAATCGCATTACAACTGTAATCCCACAAAATAAAAAACTCAATATAGGAAACTCAATATCTTGTAATAACAAGATAAGAGGCTTAATATCTTGTTGCTATAATCATCAAAAGAAATTGACCTAGTGAGCAATGGGTCACTTCATTGAGTTTAAAACTATAACAGAACTATCAGTAATAACTCTATGTTCTAACGTGAACTCTTTTTTGTTTTTGGGTAAATCAATGGGGCAGAAGGCCCCCTACCTATTTTTTCATTAATAAAATATAAGAAAATCACATCATACTATTTTACAACCCTACAATAAAATCATTGTCCATCTTGAAATAAAGGACGGTAAGGAAATCTGGAGGCCTAGAGTACCAAATGGTGGCCTCTACAAAGACTTTAGACTTTTTAACAAGTAAGTAAACCACCATATTAGCGTCTAGCATGAATTTCTTTGGCCAGGAAAGCATTTGCTTATAATTAGAACTGAACTGGTAATGGTAAAATCTGAGGAAGCCAAGAGGTCCCCAATAGGGCCCAACTCTGGGCACTCCGCCCAACCGCTCAGCCCTACATCTGCCTGCGGCTCCCCGCCTCCGACAATGAACAGTGTGGACTCGGCATCTAAAGCTTCCAATGTTGCAACCATCTCTTGACCCATCTTCATTGGCATCTCTTTGTACGACGCAATCCCAGTGTATACGAACATTCTTCTGAATTTTTCTAGAGACTTCTCATCTAGGGCCTCCTCTTTCATGCCAAAGGAGATAAAGACAGTGTTGCTCCCTATTGAAGTAGCTTGGGGTATTTTAGGAATCACTGCATTCTCTGAAGTGTTCGAAGGCCTTGTGCTTTCTGGTGAATCGCTCATGCTGGATGGTAAGAAGCGCAAGAGCGTGAAGCTGATGCCTGGATGCTCGACCATCCTGCTAACTAGTTTTAGGGCCTCACGGTCACTCGGTCCCCCGAAGAAGAGTGCGATGACGTTATGGGACATGTGGGTGGCCGACCTCAGGGTGGTACCTCCAAGCCCCCGGTCGACGAGTATCCCCACAGGACATGGTGCATTATGTATCATCCTCTTATTAAGCCACCTTAAATCTGAATGTCGTAATTGCATCCTGCCATCAAATCTCTGGAACATGTGGAAAGGGAGGATAATGAAGGTGGCATCCATATCCTCAGCAATGTGGCAGATATCCTCATGCATGTTGAAGAAGAAGGAGACGGCTGTGCAATGCTGCAACGATATTCCGGCCTCGAAAACATATGCCTGAATCGCGGCAGCTATTTTCTTTGCCTCTCCCCCTACCAATGTGTATGTAATATCCCGTCGATAGAGTAATTGAGCAGCTGTGCGCTCGTTGTACTCAATTAGGTGTACAGTGTAGATGGCAATAGGCGAGGCGCCAGAGCAACGAAATGCCTCGATTAGATTGATCGTGCCAGTCATGTCGATGATGTTATGTAAGCACACCAGTAGGCGCATCTGCTGAGTATGGCGTTGTCTCGTTATCTTTGGGTGTGAGTACGCCACCACCTTGGGCCTCTTGGTGACTGTCATTATGGCAAGCACGGCAAGGGCTGCGAATATGGAGTTGAGGACGGAACTGCTCATAACCAGCGATTGAACTCGAATATCTAGCATCTGTGCACATGCTTAACATTCAATGTTAGACCATATGATAAGAGTACCATTTTAGCATTGCAATTGGAGCTTCTTGTATATTAGTTTTCTCATTTCCAAAACTTCAGAAGCAAAGATTATTTACAAGGGATTTTATAGTAGGACCATTTTTCTTTGATGAAAGGATGCCACAATCATCCAATGTGTAAATTGATAGCTTGGGTTGTATCAAAAAGATGCAAAAATCTTCTATTGGATATTGAGCCAAGTTAATAGGGCACATTTAACCACCTTATTTCACATCCTATAACAAAGGTTGATTGTTATCTCCTTCTACCAATAAGACAAGATTTACATGGTTCCTCCCAAAACGAGTAGTATCCACAATTTCGGTAAATAGTTTTCTATGAGTTAAGATTATATTTTTAGATTACAAGAGATGTATCTCTCTCTAAAGGGTGCGGTTTGTATAGAGCCGAGGCTCTAAACAATCAAAGAAAGTGTACCTTCAAATAGTGTCGAGAAATATGGTTCCAATACTATAAATCTTTGTGATAGCCTTAAAATATATTTTCATATCTAATTATAAAATTTAAATCTTCAAAAATAGTGTAGATCGAGCATATCTATGAAAACTTGAAAATGTTGAAAATTGATGGTCCAAAAATGCACAACAAGATGCACTATTTCCAAAACTTAAAATCCATGTTTTTCTCATGTACATGCATCTTGATATTGAGATTATAAATTTGATAATAATTGGGCATCAAAACAACCTCTTCTTGTGAATGTTTTGAGGTAGGCTCTAATTTGATTGTTTAGAGCCCAGGCTCTATATAAAACTTTCCCTATAAGAGCTGGTACTTGTCTTGTGTGCATGAATATTGGTTGTCCTGTTTCTTAATCCTAAATTCCTAACTGCATCAGAGTGTTTTCAGTTCTTGTTGATAGTTATCAAATATTTATGATATATATTGAGGGGAAGTTATCAAATATTGAAGATGTATATTAATTTTATTGAGTTTCATATTTTATGGGATTACTATTGTAATAAAATTTGTTTCCTAAAAGACAAGAGTTGTAATTCTATAAATATATGGTAAATCAGATAAATCCTAATGAATGAGATATTAGTTTACCCTTTGTGGACGTAGGCACCATTGCCGAACCACGTGTATGTCTTCTGGATTATTCTTCTCTCTCTCTCTTTTCTACTTTATTTATTGAAACTTATTCATGGTATCAGAGCAGAAGTCTCGAGACCTGTGTAAAAATCACCACAATCGATATATTCTATTTATTTTTTTTGGTAAGCGTGGATCTCTCTCTCATTGTTTTCGTGGCTCCACAATTACAAAGAAAACTCACGATAATTTTTCAGCAACTCCGTTTGGACCTCGGAGTTTGAATTTCTATTGCATGGACTTTCATAACAATTTCTATTGCACGGACTATATTTCTATTTTGCAGGGAGGCCAAACTGTTTGCACCTTGGAGTTTGCATTGCAGTGCAAAAGATTTGCAAAGTGTTTTTTTGTTTGGAATGCAAAAGGGTGTATTTTCTGTACCCTCAAGATGACCTTCATATTGATGTGCCGTCAGTGATTTCTAGAGCGAGAAACTGTGTTTTTCATTGGATTTTTTCGGTCGGTTCTAATTGAGGCGTCTTCTAATCTTTTGAAGACATTGATATTTGATCAAGGCAGTCTTTTGGTTCCCATTATCTCTTTATAATGGCAGATTCAGAACCAAATTCTAGCCTGAAACTTATTATTGTTGCTTTGAATAGACTTACTTATCTTGCTTGGTCGATAGTTGTTTCTCATTATCTCTTTGAAAAATCTAAACTTCGACACATAACTATAAAGAAAATCATGAATTTTGATTTCAAAACTTTTGAAGAAAGTGTTGAGAAATATTCTCTGGTTGCTAATAATAAAAAGTATGAAATAAAAATTCCTCAAAATAATGGTGGAAGTAGAGGCCCTAACAATTATCACAAAGGTAGAAGGGGTCATAGTAATAAAGGGTGTCCTAGATGTGATCACTGTAATAGTATAGGACATATAAAAGATAGGTGTTGGGTATTATACCCACACTTAAGGCCCATTAATAACATGACAACCGTAAGATCTACTGCTCAAGACCGCAACCACTCAAATCCATCACTACAACTGTGATCATTATCAGCAACCAAGTAACAACATTGGTTCTTCCTCCGCACATGATCCTTCTACTTTATTCTCAGACATAGGTGACCCTTATGCTTCTCTATTGTCATGTGACACTTTTCCTTAGATAATAGCTTAGGGACCACAAATCACATGACTGGTAATTTACAGTGTTTATCCAACATCAAAACTTATAAATATGAACCATGTGTTTACAGCTAATGGTTCCGTAATTCCTGTCCAAGGTGTTGGTAAGACTAATTTCTTCTCTCAGTCTCATAATTTTAAAGTTCTATTTATGCCATACTTTTCCTCTAACTTGATGTCTGTTAGTAGAATTACTCAGAGCATGAATTGTAATGTTAGTTTTTCTCCCAACTCTGTCATTTTCTAAGACCGAGACATAGGGAGGATGATTGGTGAGTGAAGACTATCTCATGGGCTATATTATTTAATCAGAAGAATAAGACTTTAGTTGCCAGTCAAGATAATTCTGATATTAATAAATTGTGGCATTGGAGATTTGGACACCCCTCAGATAAAGTTTTAAAAATGTTAATGCCCTCTCTCTCTTTAAATTCTCACTCTTGTGAAGTCTGTAAATTCTTAAGACAGACAAGTCCTCCTTTTCAATTTTCTATGCATGTTTCAAAGGAACCCATTATTTGATACATTTTAGTATGTGGGGACCATCCCCAATTGATTCTTATGTCAGCTTTAAATATTTTGTTTTTTTTATTAATGATTGATCTCGTGCTACTTTGGTATATTTATTAAAAAAAAAGCAGAAGTTCTCCCTGTGTTCAAAGAATTTTCTAAACTAATTTCTACTAAATACAATGGAAAGATTAGAATTCTACGGACTGATAATAGCACAAAGTATGTGAACAAAGCTTTTTTTGAGCATTTATTGAATTTTGGGATTATACACCAAACATCGTATGTTAGAACACCTCAGCATAATGGAGTTGTTGAAAGGAAAAATAAACACCTTTTGGAAGCTACAAGGTCTTTGATGTTTCAGATGCATATTCCAAAAATTTATTGATCTGTTTTAATTGCTTGCTATCTGATTAACAGACTTCCAAGTAAAATTTTTAAGAATAAATCTCCCCTTGAAAATTTAAAAAATTGATTTGTTCCATTTGCGAGTATTTGGATGTATATCTTATGTTCATATGGTTAGGCACAACTAGGATAAACTTGATAAACGTTCTAGTAGATGTATCATTCTTAGATACTCCTTTAGTAAAAAGGGATACAAATGTTATGATCTCACAATCAGAAAAATTCATATTTCTAGAGATGTTCAATTTGTTGAAACAAAGTCTTATTTTCATCACACATTTGAGAGTGGTTTGGAAAATAGTACTTAGGGGGAGTGTTCAATATGACATTTGCCCGTGCCTAATACTAGTATTAATGATGTGTCCAACACACCTAGAACAAGTCATGATGATCAAGCTGAAGTTGAAGATACATCTGAAACTCGCCAAACTGGTTTAGAAGCTTTATCCCCCGTTGCGTAGGTCTTCTCGTATCTCTCAACCTTCCTCTAAACTTCAATATTTTTATACTTACTATACAGTTTATTATCGTATTAGAAATCATATTTCTTATGAAAATATCTCTCCTGGCTATTTTGGTTTTTTGAGTTCTATTTCTAATAATTCTGAGTCAACCAATTTTCAAAATGTTATTTCTCAACCTCTGTGGAGGAAAGCCAGGAAAAAAGAAGTTCAAGCACTTGACAAGAACCATACTTGGGACATTGTCAAGCTACCTAAAAGGAAGAAAGAAGTTGGATGATGATGGGTTTATAAAATTAAATATAATAGTGATGGGTCTGTTGAGATATATAAGGCTAGGTTGGTAGCCAAAGGGTTTACCTAAACTTATGGAGTCGACAATAAAGAGACTTTTACACTAGTTGTCAAGATGAATATTATTCGTATTCTTTTGTATGTCGCAGTTAATTGTGGGTGGTCTCTACATTATATGGATGTTAAAAATGCTTTCTTACATGGAGATCTTGAAAAAGAAGTCTATATGAGTATTCCTCCAGGCCTTTCTAAAGAAAAGAAAAAACTTCTTATATGAAAACTAAAGAAGGCCTTGTATGGACTTAAATAATCACCTCATGCATGGTATGTCAAACTCAGTTCAGCTTTGATGAGTGTCGGGTTTATTAAAAGTTCAACTGATTATTCGATGCTCACAAAACGAGAAATTTCAGGTACAACATTTGTACTCATTTATGTTGCCGATATTATCATTATAGGTAATGATAAAGAAAACATCATGAAGCTTAAAAATTATTTGCACTAGAAATTTGACATCAATGATCTTCATCAACTAAAGTATTTTCTCGACATTAAAGTAGCACAAAAAAAAAAGGGACTCTTCATTTCTCAAAAGAAATATATGTATCAGATCAGTTGAAAGAAACTAGGAAACTGAGACTCAAACCCATTGACACTTCTGTTGATATTAGGTGCAAGCTTAATTCAACAAATGGAAAACCTCTTGAAGATGTGGGCCTCTTTAAGGGACTTGTAGGTAGATTGATTTATTTGACTATGACATGAGTAGATATAATGTGTGTGGTTAGTCTTGTGAGCCACTTTATGCATGCTCCTAGATCGTGTCATATGGAGGTTGTCGATTGGATTCTCAGATATCTTAAGTCATCACCCGGCAGAGGTATTTGGTTGAAACTGAATGGTCACACTAAGATTATAAGTTATTCTGATACTGAGTGGGTAGGTAGTCTAATTGACAAGAAGTCCACTACCAGCTATTGTACACTGGTCGGAAGAAACTTGATTACTTGGAAAAGCAAGAAACAAAATGTAGTTGCTCGATCTAATGTAGAGGTCGAATATAGAGCTATGGCTTTAATTGCAAGTGAATTGATATGGCTAAAATGCTCACTTCGAGATATGGGGTTCCCAATGTTCAATCCAATGGAGATGTTTTGTGATAACCAAGCAGCTACGTATATAAGCTCCAATCCAATTTTTTATGAAAGAACAAAGCACAAACAAATTGAATGTCATTTTTTGAGAAAAAAGGTTCAGTAAAATTATGAGATATTGTCCAAGTTGGGCTCTATTGATATCTAAACACGAATTTGAGGGGGAGTGTTGATAGTTATCAAATACTAAGAATAAATATTAATTGACAGTTATCCAATATTCAGGATATATATTAACTTTATTGAGTTTTCTATTTTGTGGGATTATTATTGTAATGGAATTTGTTTCCTACCAGTCAAGAGTTGTAGCTGTATAAATCTTTGGTAAACCAAAATAATCCTAATGAACGAGATAATGGTTTACCCTCCGTGGATGTAGGTACTCTTTTTCTATTCGTTTATTAAAACTTTTAATCGTTCTTTTGAAGAAATAAACAAAAGCACTTGAGAGAGAGATAAAGAATCAACATAAGCAGATGAGAGACAGATAGAGAATAAACATAAACACATGAGAGAGAGAGAGATAGAGAGAGAGCTCTTACATGGTGCTCTTCACCAGTAACGATAAATATCAAGTCGGGGAAGCCCCTGGCATTGAGAAGGAAACCCAAGATGAGGCCCTCATGCAGGGGAGTCTTGTACAACCACGCCATGGCCACTGATATTGAGAGCTTTGAGGTCATGCATAAGACAGCAACGAGCAGTACTGCCTGAATAGGCACCATTGACGCCGGCCCCTTCGTTCCTCCATCCCAGTTAACCCTGTGGTTCACAAGCTGCCCTGCAAAGGTGAAATACATCGGCAGCGCTATGTACCTCACCGGGAAGAATAGACGGTCCAACAGAGCCGTCGCCACACCCCCTTCCCTTGGCACCAGAATTCCAAATATGAAGCTCGCCACCAGCCCATTGTATCCCACTGCCTCCCCCATTGCAGTGCATGCCACAACCATCGCCATCACCACGATAAGCTGCATGTGGCTCTGTTTGTCGTGCATCACTAGTCTCACGCAGGGCCGGACCAAGAGGTAGGCTACCAGAGGGTAAGCTATTGCCACCAGGGACTCGAGCAGGTTGCCTTTAAATGAGGTCTTGTAGAAGACGGGCGACAGAGACACCATCGACATTACCGTGAGGCACGACACATCGTTGAGCAGCGCCACAGAGCAGCCCAGCTGGCCCACCTCTGTGGTGCCCAGTTTCATCTCCGTGGCATGTCGGATCATTGCTGGGGAGCCCGTGAGGGCGATGAGGAGTGGCATCATGAGGCGGAGATGGCCGCAGTTAGTCTGCATACCGAGCATTTCGCAAAGCAAGTTTGATGTGGAGAGGCCCAATACAGTGGAGATAGCCAGGCCACTAAATACCGTGAGCCGGGCTCGCCGCCCTGAGCTCCAGATGAGCGACGGGTCCATCTCAAGGCCAATGGCGAAAGCGATGTAGAGGCCACCTCCGCTCGAGAAACCTGTGAGCGCACGGATGCTTGCAGGTGAAAACAATGCGGCCTTAACCCAACAGATCTGGCCCAACCCAGATGGACCTATCAAACCCGCAGCCTGCACAAAAATGATCATCAGATGCTCAAAGCCATCTCTAAATGGAGACACGCACAGAAGGACTTACAATTAGTTCGGCCATGTACTGAGGGAGGCGCACCAGCTTGAGGAACATGCGCACGAGGTGGACGGCGACGAGGAGGACGCACACCTGGGTGCCGAGAAGGAAGAGTGCCTGTGCGGTCTCATTTGCGGTGATGCCAGAGAAGATGTTGGTGGGGCAGCTACAGGTCGAGCTGGTGGTTGATGCCACTGCTCGGCCGGTGGTGGCTGACGCCATTGCTCCGGCGTACCTCCGCTCGATCAATGGCGCCTCAGGATGGCATGATCTGGGCGGGTACGGACGATTGGCTTAGCGTTTTTGTAGGGGGCGAGTTGGAGCGTGGAACGCAATCCGGGGTGCGTCCCAAATTCACCTTACAGCCCAATCCCAAGTTAGTCGACGTAAGAATACAGAGGTAGAAAACCACTTTCCCTCAATCCATAGTACATCGGTTGGCTACTCGACGTACGAAGATAAGAGATAGAAAATCGCTCTCCCCATTATGGGAGGCAATGGATGGGGTCCGGCTGGACCTGGACCTTGACACCGACCCGGACCCGGACACGAACTTGAACCCAGATCTGAATGTATTTGAGCTTAGGTTTCGGACCCAGACCTAGACCTAGACTCGAATGTATTTGGGTCTAGGTTTTGGACCCGGACCTGACCTGTCGGGTCTAAAAGTTGGACTCATTCCTATACGTGTTGGGGCCCAGATCTATCCTGTGAGGTCTCGGGTCTGGTCGGGTCTATTGTCACTCTCACTATGAGCTTCCTTTTCTTTTTTTTTTTTCTTTTGTTTTTTTTTTTCTTTTGCCATCATATACCCAAATTATTAGCAACAAGGTCATAACCCGCCATTAGATTTTCAGTTGTCTTATTTGTTGTTTAATAGCTAAAGATGATTATGAATTCTTATTGTATACAATCTTTAATATACCCAAATGAATAGGACTTGAAGAATTTTATCTCCAACAGTTTACGGGTATCGGTCGGGTCCGGACTATTCGGGTCTAGGTTTCGGACGTGGACCCTACCTGCTAGGTCCAAATATTGGATCCATACCCGGACCCGTTCGGGTATATCTTCGAAAATTTATACTATTGCATCCCTTCATTATAGCATGGGAACATTTTATGCCAAAATTAGACGAGCACCCCTTCAGTGATTTTTTTTTTTTTTTTCCCTCATGTACCGCAATGTCATCACCGGAGAATAACTATTTACTCGCATGGGAGTATACTATCTATTTATTCCATCAGACAAAGTACATAGTAGGGATATTTTTTAGATCTCAAATTCAAGGGATAAATCTCTAGAACCTACAGAATAATCCCAACAAAAAGAATTTTTGAAATAAAATCTCTATGTACCAATAGAAAAAATAAAATCTGTATGAACTAAAAAAAAAATAATGCCTTAAGATTGAATAAAGACGGTCCAATTTTTTTAAGGGATAGATCTAAGTGTGACAAAACTGAAAAATTAAATTTTTTATTTTTAAAATAATCATTTAGTAATTTTTATGTGGTTTTCAAAATTTGAGATTAAAAAATATATATATGTTTAGCTAGATGTTTTGACCGAGGGAATAGATGCACAATTTGCTCCTCAGGGAACACAATGTATGCCCTTTTTATTCGAAGATTTGTGATTTCCTTGCTCTCTCTAGTGTTGTAATTGCCGGACATGTGGGTAGTTTCTTTTGAAAAAAAGGGACCCCTGAGGGGGGTGTAAGGAGTACTCGCAATTTTGGCTAAATGTTCCTACATAGGAATTAAGGAGTGGAAAAATATAGAAAAAATTTCATCAAGACCATATAATGTAAAAGTTATATAAAGCAAATGTTTTCTATAATTTTATTTTTTCGTCTTAACATCTAATGAGCACTAAATTTATTTTTATATTTCATTATATAAGAGTAATTCAGATTTGTCCTTTATGGTACTAATAACAATTTAATATAGTAGCACAAATACATATCCAATATTTTAATAATTAAAAATTCCATCATTACATGTATATTTAATGCATATCTAAAAAATAAAAAACAAAGGAGATAATATTGTAATAATAAACACTTATCATTAGTTGCATTAAATGCAAGATTGATCTATCTATTTTTTACATATATTTATGTGAACCTTCGTGATCATATTATATACAAGCTAAATAAATCAAATGTTTCTAATAATTTTATTATTTTCATCTTAATCTCTAATGAACAATAAATCTATTTTTATATTTCATTATAGAACAATAACTTGGATTTTTAACCAACAATTTCCTCCATCGGTTATACAAACTTTTTGAATTATGTTAACTGCTATTTTAACACACACTGAGTGAGGGCACATGAAAGTTGGATTGTAATCCATAGTGGGATCAAGCTCCATATTGAATGGGATGACAATACTAAATAGGAACGAGCTCTCAAAAACTTGAAATGGGTTCCGAGATCCCAGTCACGGACCGCCGGAGCAGGAGCGCGACTTTAGTTGGGCGCTCCCGGTAACTATAGGATGGACAGCTACCACGTGGCGAGCTATTGTGGTGAGCTTTGGTTCGACTTGCCTAGTTTGAAGATTTACAGAAATGCATTATTTTCTCTAGCTCTAGAGTAAAAATGACTTGTGAGAGCGACTTTTTATTACAATCAAAACTGAACTAGTAATTGAAGAAAGTGAGTGAGCTAACAGGTCCCCTACAGGACCAAGCTCAGAGCACTCTGTCGACCTCATCAGCCCAGCAGCAGCTAACGACTGTCCTTGGCCTACGATAAACAATGTGCACTCGGCATCTAAAGCTTGCAGTGTTGCAACCAGGTTTTGTTTCGTTCTCACTGTCCTCTCCTCATAGAACACTCTACTATTTTTCTCATACATTCTTCTAAAGCTATTCAGAAACATCTGGTCTGGTGGCTTGTCGGTCTCCGCGAAAGAATTCACTTTTGGACTAGATTTCTGAACCATCGCTGCTTTAGACGAGACTTGACTACTTGCCTGCTCCCTATGTCTTGAACACAGAAAATGGACCAGTGTAAAGTTGATGTCGGGATGCTCGGCCAGCCTTCCCCCTAGGGTGATGGCCTCGCAATCACTTGGTCCTCCAAAAAAGAGCCCGAACACATTGCGGTTCTTGGACATGCCGGAAGCGGACCACAGCGTGGTGCCTCCGAGGCCCCGGTTGATGATTATACCCACTGGACATGGTGCATGGCTTATCACCCTCTGATTGAGCTTCCTAATTGCTGAATTCCGTACCTGCATCTTGCCGTCAGCTCTATACAGCATGTGATAGGGGAGAACGATCATGGAGGCCTCCACCTCCTCAGCACTACGGCATATGTCCTCATGCATGTTGAAGAAGAAGGAGACAGTCGTGCTGTGCCGCATCGGGATGGCCACCTGGCTCCTATAGGCCTCAAATGCATCGCTTATCTGCTTCGACTCACCCCCAACCAGCATGTGCGTGATGTCCCGACGGTACAGCAGCTGTGCGGCGGTGCGCTCATTGTACTCGATCAGGTGCATGGTGTTGACAGAAAGGGAGCAGGCATCGGGGCCACGGAACGACTCAATGAGGTTGATGGAGCAAGGCACGTCAATGGCGTTATGGAGGCACACAAGCAGGTGGAGCTCAGCCCCAGGGCCCTGCTCCTCCATTCCTGAGTGTGTGGAGATCATGACATTGGGCTTCTTGGTGGCACTTACCATGCCAAGTAGAGCCAAGGGAGCAATCACCGAGTTGAGGAATGAGCTGAGCATCACAACCTCCAAAACCCGGACATCAATCATCTGCACAAATGTGACTCCTTAGCCCGAACTAGTTATGATGAA